TACAAGAGCATGGATAATTATCTTATACGAGCAGATATGAACTATGTTCTGGTTTGAAAAGCATGCACGAGATATCTATATATAAATATATATGTATAACATATATAGTATATATATATATATATGTATCAGTTCCATATTTGTTTGATCTGGTGCTATAAGTTCTGTGGAATTGACTGCGGTTTTGTGTTTGTTTTCTATGGCAATAGATTATGGACTCGTGTTGTGCTTTAATATACAGTCATCGGAGTTATCGCATACCTCAGTGTCATCATTCGACTGTGTTTTCACATTGTTCTTAAATGTTTAGAGTTTTCCATGAAAACATCCAGTGCTATATCGATGGAGATGTATTTTACGATAATTTATTTTTCTACATTTTAAATTTGACTTCTTTGTCAAATGAAAAGAACAAAAGGAGCATTGATTGCTGAATAAATCGATATACAGTCATGCACTGGTGTTCTTGTGTCCTTTGTTTTGGAAATAGACTGTGGATAGAAAGTAGAGCTTAATAATGCATTTTCACACTGCTAAACCAGTCATCCTTACACCAGGATGTTCAGATGCAGGCCATTAATTCAGTTTGATATTATTTACAGTATCATCTAACAAATATAGCCACAAGCATCAAACATTGACCATTTTTCAAGTATATAGTGGTTTTGACAGCCAAGTCCATCTCGGATCCTCAGTGATAGTTAGGGTTCGACGAAACAGGTTCCAGCAATAGACGTTAGTATAAAAAGATACAGCTGGCGTCCAAAGAAAATCACTACTGATAGACTGAAAGAGAAGTCCAAAAAACCCTCTGAGTACTGGCATAAGATATGTGATCATAAGGCTTATAGGATATCTTATAGGATGCTATATTATAGGTCAATGCAAATTAGTAAAGTCATTTGAAGTTTAAAACTGTGTGGCCTTTTAACCTTTAAAACTGTGAACTATTGGACCCTAATATGCAATGTTTTGTAGAACTGAAGCTACAACCAAGTAAACACGCTCATAAATACATTTCAGCTCAACAGGGTACACGGCTTTTAGATTTTGTACACTGAGACACATACAACTGCTTTCCGGTGTACAGAAACAAGCAGACGTTGACTGTTGCACTATGCCTGCAAAGAAGACTTTAATCATATATTTGTATTCAGATTGTCATATAACTGAAACAACATGTTATGCAATAAATCAATTAATTCTTGGGCTGCAGGTTCTTCTGAGCTGGTGTCTGGTTATATGAGAATGTGTTATTCATAATACTAAATTGAGTCTTTATATACAGTAGAATTACTATAATATTATCTTACAAGAGACAAATTAGAGACTTTCTGATTATATAAAACGATATTGTCAGAGCAACGTAGTGTACAAATAAACAGGTTTAGATTAGACTCAAGATTTCTTATCCATCACCTCTAGTGGACAACATGAGTCTTACAGCATCTGTCAGATGAAATGACTGATAGTTTAGAGTTTACTGTCAGCACCCTGAACATCAGAAATTCATGAAACTGAGCATGTTTCCTTCCACACGTTCTTTAAGCTTTGAGGAATTTGGATTTTTGTGCACAGAAGATTCCATTCAGATTTGATATCATTAGCCATTGAAATTTGATTGGCTGGCTATTTTATTTTATTTTATGCATTTTTACATAGCCAAGTCATATTAGAGGATATGTTATGACGTCCACCAAAGAAGATGCATACCAATTTTACCAATGTTTATCGAGTTTTAGGAGGAAAATCAGCAATGCCAGAAATTAATGATTTAATTTGCTTTAATCTTCACAACATTTGGATGAATCAAATTTTTTGATTACTTCTTGCCAGCACTATCCCTGACTGCTGTGCACAACATTTGGTGAAGCTCATATATGAGCGAGGTTACAGTACACAGGTGTATATGCAGAAGTGTTTCTTTTCAAAAAAAGATGCATGTGTAAATTTCTCCCAATCACATCTGTTACTTTACACATCTGTATATTTTTTTTTACCATTGCAGTTTAAACAAACTATGCATTTCACATATTTCAACAAATTGCTTTATTAATCTTTATTACGAATGTCTTAAATAGCCAATGTGCATCCAATGTGTGTCAGTGTCCTACTCACTCAAAATGTGGCATGCACCATCTTGAGATACACCTGACAAAGAGTTATGAAAATAATTTAAACACATTTAATTGTTTAACAGACATGGGCTGATATGTTTTGGGCTGCAGCTCATAATAACTAAATGTCCCTTTTCTTGTAGACACAACGTCCAAACTCTTCACAAAACATGGTACACAAGACATTCAGTATCCAAAATATCACGAATTTCTGATTGTTAGGGGATTACAGAGATTTTTTTTTTTTTATTGCTATCACATAGATCTACTCATATGGTGTATTAAGGTTTATAGCAGGTGTTAACAGTGATTAACAACTACAAAGGTGTCACACACACCATGTACGTGTGATAAATCTTCACTCGACTGCTGATGTTGAGAAATACTCAATAGAGTGCGAGTGACTCTTCACACTCCACATATATGTCACATACAACAAAGCATCAAAAAGTACTATGGTACCGTTTTGATAGGAAACAGAGTACCATGCAAATATCACGGTACAAGCATTCCAGTATCATACTGCCACATGCTGCTGTATTATTTTTTTGTCAGGGGTATTAAACAAAATCTCGCTTCATTACGTTTGCAACCGCGCAGGGCCAAAATAAAGTGACCTCTGACTTGATGATGTAAAGCCAATAGTTTTAAAGTTCATGTTCTTGCCTTCAAAAGACTATAATATCTAAAAGTCAAAGCAAATAGTGAGACAATGCATATGATGTTATTATACTGCTGTTTCTGCTGCATCTGAGGCAGTAAGTGCATCGCATTTCATCAATTTACAAGTTATAAAGTTTATTGGAGCTATGTGGGTGCTCAGTTTTTTCTGTCATTTTGTTCTGCCAAAATGTAATGTTTTTAAATAAGAAGTGCACAGTCTATTTAAAGGGATAGTTCATTCGAAAATGAAAATTCTGTCATTGATTACTCACCCTCATGTCGTTTCAAACCCGTAAGACCTTCGTTCATCTTCGGAACACAAATTAAGATATTTTTGATGAAATCCGAGAGCTTTCTGACCCTCTGTAGACAGTAACGCAACTTCCACGTTCAAGGCCCAGAAAGGTAGTAAGGACATCGTTAAAACAGTCCATGTGACAACAGTGGTTCAACCGTAATGTTATTAAGCTACGAGATAACTTTTTGTATGCAAAGAAAAGAAAAATAACAACTTTATTCAACAATTCTTCTCTTCCGAGTCAGTCTCCGCCACCATTCACAAGAGTACCACGACGTACCTCTCTGGGCCTTGAACGTTTCAGCTGCGTTGCTGTCTACGGAGGGTCAGAAAGCTCTCAGATTTCATCAAAAATATCATCATTTGTGTTCCAAAGATGAACGAAGGTCTTGCGGGTTTGGAACGACATGAGGGTGAGTAATTAATGACAGAATTTTTGGGTGAGCTAACCCTTTAAGAATTAATTAGTACGACTTAGCCTTTATATATAAACAGTAATGCATAATAATAATGATGATGATAATAATAATAATAATAATAATAGAGTGCATGCGTGTGACCGTGAGCACGGCATTGCACGCCAATTTCGTAGAGAACTTTACTCAGTGCATTTTTAATTGTGATTTTGGCTGCCTCTGAAATGAATCAAACCATAGATATTACCTTAGAAGTTCAAGAAAATACTCTAGAAATCCGCATTCTTTCAGGCTATGTCTGAAATGGATGTGCACCGTTCAGTTGAATGATAAGGTTTACCCTCGGTTTGTCTGTCTATTTGATGCGCATGAAAGTTGTGTTTGTTATTATAGCATCACAGATGCTAGATATGGTAGATTTGGTCTGTGCAACTTCAGATCCGTAAAAATGTTTCAGTGTTATTCAGTGTTTTTTCTTGTTTTTTTCTTTGTTTTCTTCTTTGCCCCACTTATGGCCATAAATATGGCAGATGGGCAAAAAAGCCACGTGAATGAAACAGATAAACTGATTGCCTTCTACCATGTTTTTGGACATATAGACCAAGGTAATGCCATGGTATTTTATGAAGTACTTTAGAGAAACCAATGTAAGCTATATCGTATGGTACAGGAGCATCGCTAGACTCATTTTACACTGAAATACCGATGTAGGCTCCCCCAGAAATATATTAGGCTACAGATAAATGCTTGTCTGATGGTGGAGATGACCATATACCGAAATGAGGAAATAGTTTCCCTGATGATAGTATTTTAGCAGTCATGTCCTGTGTGTTTTCTATCAGCTGTTTAGCTACTTACTAGTGATGCCAGACCGCAAATTTGATCTAATCGGTCAAACGGGTTCATTTCCTGATAGCACACATAGGCTACATCACGGAGACGTCTATTTGACATCTGCAAGACGTATTTTCTAGAGTGTTTGCTCATCTGCAATACGACGTTTCCTATCAGATGTCAAATAGACGTTTAGAAAATGTCTTTAAGATGTTTATGATTTAATGCATGTAAAACTGACATCTTAAAGACGTCTATCAGACGTTTGCACACAGCAGATGCTTTCCAGATGAAGCGATGTGTATTGTGTTTGCAGACTCTCACAGTACAGGTTTGTCAGCTGGATGTTTACCTACAAAACAACTCTATTGCTGGTGCAGCTTGTGCATTGCAGGCAAAGGGTTTATATCCATGTATGTATCCATAATAACAGTATCTAAATATGGGGACACTTTTTTGGTGAAAGGTTAGGAATGCTCCTGGTACATATCAGTCACTACAGCACTGTACTGTTCAAGGAACTTCAGCTTGGCAGCCGAGAGCATGTAAAGCGCTGACGGTGAACGGAATGTTTGTTTTCTGGTTTCTAAGGGGTGGAGCGAGCCTGCTCCTCGCTTCTCCACTTCTCCATGTGTGTTTTCCCTGCAGTTCGTTTCTCATCCTCCCTGCTGACGTCTGACTTCCGCATTCCTCGCTCTTCCCGATCAGGGATCAGCGCTCGAGACCCGAGCTGATGCAACGATCCCCGCTCTTCAAGATCTACTCGCGACCTCCGGCTGACGTCACAAAGGGACTCCACTCGCTCACCTCGAGACCAAAGTCAGGTAAGAGCGCAACTTTGGCAACTTTTGCACGGCTTCGAGTCCGGCCGCTGCATTTCTCCATGGCTGTGTCTCAAAGCGCGGAGAGCCGCCTAGACAGGGCGCATTTTTTGCGCATCTCGGGCGCGCAGCAGCGTTTTTGGGCATCGTGCGCTCGTTCTGTTTCTGCTGCGCCCCCGAGATGCGCAAAAATGCAGTGCATGTAGGGGGCTCGCTAGGTGTTGAGACACAGCCCAAGTGTATGCAAGCGCAAAATGGTACATTGCAAAATAAGTAACGTGGGCATTTCATATTTGAATAACAGCAGTGTATTCTATTGCTATGGCTGCATACTTAAATACCTATTTATTTCCAGATTTGAACGCATTTCACTCGGCCTTGTCCATCTCTAGTTGTAGCCTACATAGGGAATGTTCACTTCCTAATATAGCGCGTTAATGATGATGATGATGGTGATGATGGGACAGAAAGACTCAACACCGCTGTAAGCTGAAGTTCATGTTGCATAAGAGAAACTTCCGCTTTGAGATCATTGAGTCACTGTAGGGCGTGGTGCATATGCACATTCATATTTTGATTATATTTGCATTAATGTTTTACTCTGTTGTCCGCTGTCACTGTGCATATAGGCTCGTGTAATGCCTGTGTGGTAATGGCGCGTGAATCCTGTAGACACGAACTTTTTAAAATTCAAATATATCCAAAATAAGTGGTTAACATATACAATAAGTAACAAAAGTGTGAGACCACTAGTGAAATGCTATTTTGCATTGTTCTAGATTAATATAAATTAATAAATAAAAATAACAGTTTGAGTGAAAAGTCATATTTGAATTTGAGAATGTGTCATTTCAGTATTTATTGTGTGTCTCTTTTGCTTTGATGACAGCAGCACTGAAACTGACATGAACAAAACAAGATGATCATGTTCCCCAGCATTGTTTGAGATTATCCGAAAAGCATCTTGAACCTTAAGGGAAGCAAGATTTCAAACAGACTTAAATGAAATAAAAAAAAA